GCACGCAGAAGAGCTGCCCTCCCTGATCAAGGCTTACGAGCAAGAGGGTCACTTCGACGAGCTCTTGACACTTCTCGATGCTGCGCTCGGTCTGGAGCGCGCTCACATGGGTGTATTTACGCAAGCTGGTATCGCGCTCGCCAAGTACCGCCCCGAGCGCTTCATGGAGCATCTCAAGCTGTACTGGAGCCGCAGCAACCTGCCTCAACTCATTCGTACGGCTGACCAGTGCCACCTCTGGGCGGAGTTGGTCTTCCTGCACCTCAAGTACGACGAGCCCGACAATGCCGCTCTGATCATCATGGAGCGCGGTGGTGTGGCTTGGGAGCACGACCTATTCAAGACGATCTTGCCTAAAGTTGCAAATTTGGAAATCTACTACCGAGCACTCTCGTTCTATCTGGAACAGCACCCACTCCTCTTGACTGATCTGCTCACCGTCCTGTCGGCTCGTATCGACCACGCTCGTGTCGTGCGCCTGTTTGCGCGCAAGGACAATGACAACTTGCCGCTCATCCGAGGATACCTCATCTCCGTGCAGCGTCACAACATCGAGCAGGTCAACGACGCGTTGGCAGACTTGCTGATCGAAGAGGAAGACTACGAGACTCTTCGCTCGTCCATCGATGCGTACGACAGCTTTGACGCCATCTCATTGGCGCAACGCTTGGAACGCCACGATCTGTTGGAGTTCCGCAGGCTCGCTGCCCACTTGTACAAGAACAGGTCAAGATGGACTGAGTCCATCGATCTGAGCAAGAGCGACAAGCTCTGGCGCGACGCCATCGAGACGGCCGCAGTTTCTGGAGAGGCGGAAGTAGCCGAGGGTCTGCTGTCCTACTTTGTCGATATTGGCATGAAAGAGGCTGTCTCTGCTGTGCTGTTCGCTTGCTATGACTTGATTCACGAAGATGTTGCCGAGGAGCTCTCGTGGCGACACGCTCTGGTAAGTCGCACTCAAGTCTTATTGTGGCGATGGTTCAAAGACTCATGCCCCACTGCTCTCCATCAGCACGACTATCTGATGCCTTATCGATTGCAACGGATGCGGGACCGAGACACGCGCTTCAAGGCGTTGGAGAAGGAAGTTCGAGAAAGATCACTCAAGGATACGGCGAAGGAGAAAGCAGAGGAGGATGCGCCCATCCTCGGTCCTGGTATGGGCGGCACTCTCATGATCACTCAGGGAGCGACAGGGTGAGCACAAAGCTGTTCCTCGAGGTCATTTCTGTTCTCTTGCATTTGACTGACGCGCATCACGCTACTACCGATTGCAGGATGAATGGTCCACCCATCGGCGTACAACCGACCGGCTTTGGCATGGGTTACTGAACCCATCACCGACCTTCACTTTGTCAACGGCCATCACTTCTCTGCTTTGTAATTGAATCCACTTGTGCGCGAAATCCCACCCTTTTGACTCTGCATCAGTCTGGCACTGCGTGCATACAGTCAAATGTGTGTTCATCTCTGCCATTGCGAAGGGAGTAAAGTGTGTGGGTGGTATGGTACATGTGTGAAAGGGGGAAGGAAGCGCTGACATCAAGTCAGGTCTTGCTGAAGATCAGCGCGTTCTGTAGCCGGCCGATCA